AGGCTAAGATGAGAATGGTTACTCCAAAATATGGATCAAAGCCTACATAGAGGTTAGTTGTTTTTCACGTTCTTTTTGTAAGAATTTAGTGCAAGGAGTAAACAATGTCTGTTTAATTACAGTACCACTACCGCGACTGCCGTGTAAAGCTTATTCATAGCAAAGTATCTGTTTGGATAGCTCAGAATAAGGTGGATACTTCAGAATAAGAATGGCCAAAATACGGAAGTTTTGGCCATCTGGATTATTATTACTGAACTTCCCAATACAAACATGATTGTTACTTTTACAAAGAGGGTACAAATACAGTTAAGGTCAGTTAACCATCTTGTAATTTTATGGGTTAGTTGATTCCAAGTGTTAACAATAGTAAAAAACACATAAGGGACCTGTCATTTATTAGAGGCGGGGGAGGGCTGGTGCAGCTAGGGGGAGGGTCATTAAATTTTATGTAGCCAAAAAGGGGAGGGTCACCAAAAATTTAAGCTGGGATTTGGGGAGGGCCATACCATTTTTAGCAAACATTGCTGTTCACTTAAAATAAAAATAAATCAACAAATAAAATTATTAATATTATTTAAGCATTTTTAACTTTCATAATGATCAACCTGAACTACCCAACAACCCTACATGTATGTCTTTTTCTTGATTTGTTTTTCAACAGCAACACACTGCGAAACATGTCTTTGCATTGATCAAGTTTCTCATTAAGATATTTCAATTCACTGTTTACTCTTTTTTGAGCTTCATCAAGCCTTGTAATAACAGCTTCATCAAACGATTTAGAATACTCTTCTCCTTGTATAAAATTACTAGTCTTTGAGTGAAACAGGGTGTTAAGGTGAGCTTTAATGGGTCTATCCATATCTAATATCTTCTCTAGTAACTCACTGAGCTTCATAATGTTCGCCCTCAGTATTAACTAATCAGCTGGGACAAGAACATAGTCGGTCGTGTAAAATTTTCCAGGAGCACCAGGATTGTTCTCGCTCAACATTGCTTCATTGCATGAGGTGATCTTAGATACCTGTTCCTGAATGTCGTATTGGCCCCTCCCTTCATCGCAAGGTAAAAAGTTGATCTCTTTTAATAATCCCTGTCATACCTTTTAGCATAGGGAGGGTCATAACTATTTTGGGCCATACAAGGGGGAGGGTTACATTTTTTTCTGCAGGAAATTGGAGGAGGGCATAAAAAAAATTCACCTGGGAAAAAAGAATTGCACCAGCCCTGCCCCCCCCTCCCCTCTAATAAATGACAGGTCCCTAATTTACTTCAGGTCATACTTCCTGTAGCTTGGTGATCACTATTACAAGCTCAGGCAGACATATGCTCAAGTTTCTAAAAAAAAAAAATGGTCCTGCAGATGTATTAGTCATAGTTATTAGAGGAGACTGGTTATGAAAAGCGGCAAACATCAATGATAAAAACAACAGTGCTGCAGTGTATGTTGGAAGTACTGTGAAAGTGCACAATCCTTTGTTTTCTGTTGGCAAATTGTTACGGAATAAATTAATGCAACGTTTTTATTGGTCAATACAATCAAAATGATAGGAATTCTTTTGAGCGTTGTGCACTTTCAGGTCCACAAAAACATATAACAAAGGAGTCTGATGGGTTTCATAACCATTCCACTCGATTAACTATGTATTAGTGTAGTGTCTCTGTATAGCTCTGATATAGGACCTGGAGCCTACAGTGGCAGATCGGAACCTTCAGTTAAGAAGAGGGGTGGGGCAGGATTCTCACCAGACCTTAAGGTGGCGGGAAGGAACCACTCATTCAGACCTTAAGGTACGGAGGAGCTCAATCTAGAAAAGAATTTTCTTGGCACTGTTGTCCTCAATTTGATCTAGAAATATGGAGGGCCGGGGACCTCCCTAGATCTACTGCTGGCCTCTTCCAGCCTGCCCATGTTCACCTGCTATCTTTTTACATTTACTAGAAACTCTAGTATCAATTCAAATTATTTATCCTAAATATTAGGATTTTTGCAAAATTATTTATAGTTGCTTTTTTGCACTTGTATTTTGTTTTGTTTTTTTTTTTCAAATTCTAGGAGCCTCATTGTCACCAAAACTCTCTGCCTTCCATACCCTATTCCACACTGAACTTTCTGACAACAGTCCTCAGCCAAGTGGTACCATCATGGTGTTGAAAAGTGTGGAAATTGATCCTGTTGATCCTGTTGATCCTGGGATGAATTATTTTTCTTTTTCTTCCCCCTTCCTCCACTCAAGGGGGGAGGGGGGGAAGATGTTTTCCTTCCCCTCCCTGTAATCTATTATCTATTTCCTTGATTGCCTTCTGAGCTCCTGATGAGACAAGACCTTCAGCATTAAGCTGGTTATGGGCTATTTTTTGTTTTTCACTCAGTATGGTGAGCTTATCATAAATTTAAAAATGGAATAAACATGATCATGCAGGTATATCCATGTTGCAGCTGTAACAGGAGGAGGAGTTGGAGATCCGGAGGGTGTTGCAGTCAAATGCTTGTGAGGAACAGAGAAACCAGTTGGAGAAAGAAAGGAAGAAATGAAGAAAATTGGAGAAGGCTTCAAGAGAAATAGGAAATAAAATGAAAAAAAAAAAAGAAAGAAAGAAAGAAAAAAGAAAACAGGAAAAAAAAAAAAAAATTTTCATTGAGGCCAAGCAGTTGGCTGCTCAGTTGCATGTCTGGGTAGCTTGAACATTTGGTTAATCAAATTCTCAAAACCACAAACAAACCACTCTAAGACTTTGATAAAATGTGTAAAAAAAATTGTTTATTACTTTATAAAAATAAAGTTGTTTGTTTACAATTCTACACCCATTTTTTCATTTCTTCCTTTTCCCGTAATTCTTTCCTCTGTTTTACTTTCCTCTTACTCTTTCTCCACTTCCACAATGTGCTTTTATGTACCCTCTATACCTGGGGTGGAAAGTCACCTGAAAATTTGAAATTAGCCATGCATTAAATAGAGCTTCCATTATAATCATTCTTTCAGGAAATAAAGTTGCTACTTTGGCGGTAATTCTAAAAAGCACTGTGTTCCACGATACAGTGCCTTGATTCAGCAAAGAAGCCTTGACCCTTTTGTTTTAAAAGTTAAAGATTTTCTTTTGGTAGCAGAGAAAGGCCCCCAGTTCAGTGCATTACAAATAATTATCACCTACAAAGTTATCTATCAGCTAAATTAAAAAGGAACAACCAAATCATTTCCTTGTGGTACCTGCCTAATAACAAAATGAATAACTAAAATACTGATAAATAAATAATAATTATTGAAGTAGGGTATATCCAGGCCGTTTTAGCTTAACAAAACAAAAACACAAGGTAAGTCATTCTCATTTCTATTTTTGTCAAAAAACGGAATTTAGGACGTATTTTGTTTATTGTCATACATTCTCTTATAAATTCAAAGTCCAACAAACTCCTTCAGAGTTTGGGCTACCTGTGGATGGGGCAACATTTCATGACAGGATGGACAATAAAGGGGCTGCATTTTCAACACCTTCAGTGTGACTGGAAATTACAAAGGTTCACACAGCAGATTCAGGAATACAAAATGACTAACTTGGTATCACATAGTTTACATTTGCCAAAAGTAGCTAACATTGGGCCTTTTGGTCATAGAAAAGACTGTAAAAGGATTTGGGTTCTGGTTGGCTAATTGTGCCAGATACCCAGCGTACCAAAAGGTTGACCCAAGTATCCCACAGGTTGAGAGGGTCACTTTGGTTTTTATAATCTCATAAAGTACCCATTCTTCTCACACTTAACTAAACAGCAACTTACCACTTAAAAGTGAAAAAAAAATCAACCATAATATATAAGAAAACAGAAATAGTTTATGTTGAGCCATAAATTCAACAACTGTCTGCTATCCCTGGGGAGGGGGGGACTCCCTTATATGGCCTCCATGGGGATGTGCCGCTGGACAGGGTATGGTTTTCATCCTCTCTGTCCTGAACAGGGTATATAGTTTGGCACAAGTCTGTCCTAAACAGGGTATTCAATTTCCTGCAAGTCTGTCCTAAACAGTGTGCATGATTTGTGCGAGTCTGCTCTAATTATAAACAGGGTGTTTCATGCATGATTGATTTCGTCTTAGTGCAAATGTTTGCAGATATTTAGTACGTCATCACCCAAAGCATTTACTGGAATAAATAAAAATGTTATTGTTCTTGGCACCCTTGTCTACATAAGATAAGTACGAGTTGAGAGGTGTGCTTGATAACCTTGTCCCCATCTGAGGGAGTTTTCCTATCTGGGTACTAAGATGAGGGTGTTATCCTAAACAGGGTATGGGTTTCAAACCCTCAGCGGCTCACCTACATCCAAATATTGGTCTAGTACCCCTCCCACCCCCCCTCCCCCTACACCGGGCTGCTATAAGCAAGAGCCATAATTACACAATGGTTGACTGTGTTTGTACCCTCTTTGTAAACCTAACAATCATGTTTGTATTGGGAAGTTCAGTAATAATAATCCAGATGGCCAAAACTTCCATATTTTGGCCATTCTTATTCTGAAGTATCCACCTTATTCTGAGCTATCCAAACAGATACTTTGCTATGAATAAGCTTTACACGGCAGTCGCGGTAGTGGTACTGTAATTAAACAGACATTGTTTACTCCTTGCACTAAATTCTTACAAAGAACGTGAAAAACAACTAACCTCTATGTAGGCTTTGATCCATATTTTGGAGTAACCATTCTCATCTTAGCCTTCTTCGGTCTTTGCATACTTATCTCGAGAGTCGGAGCAATTTGCCGAAAAATAATTTTATTCAGTTTCAGTCTCCGAGCGGATACCTGATTTTGGAGTATCCATTCTAGTCACGAGCAAAAAAAAATGAACTTCCGCAATTATATGCAAATTCATGTTCTCGTGACCACTAATTAATTCACGCGACAAATCATCGCATCCATGTCTGAAATGTCCTCCATGTCTGTTTTAAGAATACCTCGATATCCTCGATAAGGATGTGAGAACGACGGGAATACTTAGTAGAAAAGGTGTAGTCGTTGTTTTAAAATGTCTGAGTTTGAATATAACAATTTACTGTTCCAAATAAGCCAAAGACTCGACAACATAAATGCTGCCAAGCAATTACTTGTGATATGCAGAGGAAAGTTGGCGGCTCGTAATGAGGAAAGCATCCCTACCTTGTCGTTGTTTGAAGAATTAGAGGAGGGAGGATTTCTGAGTTTCGATCGTCTAACGGTATTGAAGGCCATTTTAGAAGGCGTCGAGGAATGGGCTCTTCTTGAAAAGGTTGAAAAGTTTGCGTGCAAAAGAAAGGAATACAACAACTTGCTTGAGCAGATTATACGAGTACTCGACGAGCTTAATGATCTCGAACGACTCATTTCCATTTGCCGAGGAAACATTACAGAACGAAGACGAGCGAGCATCCACGATGTTAGGTCATTGTTCAAGGAGTTAGAAAGCAACGACTGTCTTGGAATCGACTGCCTCGAAATCGTGAAGGAGATTTTGACCCAGACGGAAAAAACCGATCTGCTGAAGGAAGTGGAAGAGTTTGAGCAACGACAAAGTCGTGAAAGGCGAAAAGGTATTTCTCTACGCCCGTTGTGTTGCAATTTCATTTCTTCCCCTCATAACATCGTTGTATAAGAATTTCTGGATAACCGTGTTTGCGCAAACCTAAGCCCCGTTTAACATGGTTTTTAAGTCTGAATTTTGAACGTTTCACTTCAGCGATAGCAGCTGCCATGGGATCGTCACCTTTCGACAAACTGGTGGGAGGTAAGATATTTTAAAATTTAGTTTCGCTCCATGTATACATTTCCCCGTTCTGAGACGGTCTCGACAGTCTTCACCTACTTGGGTTTACGGGACATCCTTTCTCTAAAGGCATGCTAACCTACAAAAAGGGTTCACTCTTAAACGAAACCCTCAGCGTTTCTATAGCATAAACAACTAGACTCGCAATAGGCGACTTCACTGGGCTGCGCGGCATATATAAAACCTGTGTTGCACGCGAGAAGTTTTCGAGAACAGACAGTAAACAGCTTATAAAAGGAATAAACCCATTAAACCTATCCCGATTGATCCACGGGCCTCATTCAACCGACTGCATCAAACGGTCGACAACACGATTTTTTTTAATACCGTAATATGAGTTAAGATTCGCTATTTTTCTTAGTCGCGTGAGTGACTAAAGACTGAAATAAGGGCACTTTGAAATTCAGTAGCTCGTGACCTTGTTTTCATCTGGGTCATAATGTGATTACACGATCTTAAATTGTTTTCTGTTCAAGCGATTTATCTCGATGCAGAATGATTGCCCATTACATTAATTGAAATCCTATGGTTCATTCATATAATATTGTACTTCTACGTCACATTTACAGTGTACGTACTCTAAACACCTTCAGTAAAAACAAATATACAGGTCTTGTACATGTGTAAGTCAAGCTTATACCAAGTGAAGTTTCGAGTGAAATCAATCCATATAGTTATTTTTTTTAAGTTTCCATTTTCGATGACTTTTTTGTTTACACCCTTATCAAAAGGTATGAATGGCGATAACCTTAAAAAGAGTTGCGAACTTTCAAAGTTTATCGAGACTCTAAACAGTCGTGCTTGTTGAAGGGGACCCGGAAGACACAGAACTTGGGAGATTAGCATTAGAAGGTCATGCACAAATTTAATTCAGATAAAACTGGCAAGATACAGATACAAACAAAAGCAAAAACTCTGGACCATACTGAGAACAACTGAAAGCTATAGGAAGCAAAGTCAGCAAACCCTGCACTAGTGAGTGACTTGCCTTTCTCTTAAACGCTTTTCTCCTCTTCACTGCTCATTTGCCCTCTCGCCAAACTGCAACCGCCAGCTTCGAAGGCTAATGAACTTGTCTGCAAAATTCTCGAAGTGTAAATTCCGTCGTCCGAGTCTCCTTTACCCTTATGTAAAATTTAGGCGGGTGTTGCATTAAACAGAAGGAAATATAGCAACGAAAAGGCAAGTTACGATACTGCGCTGAAATGGGAAAACACGTTTTGTCGAAACGCCTTCTGGGCTAAATTAAACTGGGTGAACAATTAACAGTGCCTGTGTAAAAGTGCCCGGATATTGCGTTGAAGACCGAACGGAACTGAATTTACAACTGGGCGTGCCCTGCAGCCCAGTAATTATAATATTTGTAAGGCGGACTGATCAAGTGGTAAAGAGATCCTAGAGATTAGTGTAGCCTTGTTTGCAGGTCTAAGTCAGAGATAAAAAGTGTTTAGATAACACTGTCATTGGACATCTCTAATCATAAAAATGGAAATTAGTAAAAAAATCGTTTTATGTCTTTTATCTCTAAAATTCTTACTTATCTACGAGGCTTTGGAGACAAAAACTAAAGAAATGTAGTATTCGTTGCTCAACTAAGTATTCACTTTAATGCATTGAAATTGTTTTATTGCATAATACGGCTCCACTTACGTTGTAACTAAAAACACGAGGAGCCATGCGGTGTAAATTCTGAAAGAGAGCGACCTCCTTACTTCATTCTGAGAGGGAGACCACCCGCTATTGAAGTGTTTAAGACGGAATCCATCAGGAATCAGTGTACCAGAATAATTTAAAGCACATTGCATTCTTTTTTACATTTTTCAAGGGCTAAAGATTTAATAACACCAAAGAAAATTTCTTATGAGAGCCCGAGAAAATGAATGGCAAATTTCACAAAATTACATCTTACACATGAAATTTCAGAATTTTACCTGTGTTTCACATTTCTTGTGAAATTTGACATTTATTTTCTCGGCCTCCCATGAGAAATGTTGTTTGGTATTATTACAGACAACACATCTTTAGCCCTTTTGAAAAACGTAAAAAAGTGTAATATTCTTTAATTGTTCTGGTACAAGGATTTTCTCCACTGAAGATTAAAATTACTCAACTTCCTGGTGGATTCCGTCTTAACATTCTTTGTTCCTCATCACGCAAGGGACCAGAAGGAGCTCAGCTGCTTATGAGAGTACAATTCTTTACACACTTTGCCTTAATAGAACTTTTGTACCACTTTTTTGCATTTTCTACAGTTAGGAAAATTTTAATGTGACATTTTTTTAAGTCAATATTTATCCAGGGGCATCCAATTTTAACGAGCTTGTTTAAATGAAGCCCTGACACAACACAAAAACAAAGACATTAAAACATTAGAACTAGAAAAGTAATTAATTTACAAAGCCAACATGTACCGCAGGCGCAAGATGAACAAGCTAGTGCTTCCCTTCAATACCCTATGTAGTGCAATCCTGTACCACCTGCCAGATGGCTTGTAAGCGGCAAAAGGTAGACCCCTTTTATACGGAGAAACGTTGTTCCGCTTTGAAGGGTCAGTCGTCTGCCCCAGCTAACGTGAATTACACTCTCTCCCATCTCATCTTTGCTAGAAGCCCACCGCCTGTAAGAAGTGTTTTTTGTCTAAACGAATTCTCTAGGACAGACAGATGGATTTGCCGCCGCGACCTAAAAAAACCAAAACCTTTGCCAAGTAACCGTCGCTGACCCATCCCCAGAGCCTCTTGGTTTTCCTGCCGCCGCCATATCAGTGAAAAACAAGGAGACCCTGGGGGTGGGGTTGCCGCCCTCAGTCTGGATACGATTTTCAGGATTGCGTGACAAGTTTCATAATCTATTTATGTATGACTCGAAGGACGTTATGATCAGCCAATTGGCTTTGTACAGTAGTTTATTTTATTCAGACTATTATAACTTTTTTTTGGTAGTTTTTACTATCAAGACTGTTTTCAGAGGAATTGGAGGAAGTATACTCGCCTTTTCCGCCTTTAAACTCCTGAGACGAGGTTCCACATATGACCAGCTCGTCACTGCCATTAGTACTTGCATTCTTCCTGCCGGTATTAAACTAATAGAAATGGCTGAGGGGAGCGTTAATCTCAAAGTTCAGGCAGAGAATCGTTTAGCTCTTGACAGTTTATGGCGAATGTACAATAATGGAACGTTAAAAGCACGCCTGGAAGCCTTGTTTGTCACAGATGAAATGAGGGAACTTGCCGGTGGAGAAGGAGTGGAAGTTATTGTGACCATCGACGAGCGAGAATATGAGAACGCCCGGTACGAGTTGACTACTGAAGCAAGAGGTAACGTTATGATGTTGTGTCACCACTGACGGCGACTCCTAACCCATAAGTCTCAAAAGAGTGAAAGAGATCTAGGCAGAAAGGTTCTCTTTTCTTACTCGCCGGGTGCTGCACTGCTGTTGATGCAGTGCAACAATAGCGGGATGTAGAGTATGGTAATTTAGGAGAAAGATAGCTTGGCCTAGTTCGAGGTCATAAGATACACTCTTAACCGGTCTACAGTGCCTACGGTCAAGTGCGTCATTTTGTTATTAACCAACATTATTATTCATTCAAAATATTTCTCCGTTTCTGATTGGCTAAAAGTACACGCATAATTCACCATAACCAGCTTCTGTTGACCAAATTTGGAAGAATTCTGCGATTAATCAACCGATGACGTCAAAGGTGCAGCACAGTTGCAGGTTAATGCACCGTTAACCGAGAAGACCTGAGGACGAGGTTGAGTTGTTTTGGTTGTGAAAAGAAAAATGGCCGAACAGTCTGCGGAACATTTTCCTCGTTTCACGACGAACTTTACAGAGAGGAGAAGTGTGACGTCACGTTACCACGGTAGCACTATTTCTGGATGACCACAAAACCAACGGCGACGGCGACGGCACGGAGAACGGCAAAAAATAATATGTTTATATGTTTATATTAACAAACAACAACTTTGCACGTGAATCATGCCATTTTGTGCATTTCTTTGCCGTCGTTGCACCACTAAGACATGAAACTTCCTAATTTCACGAGACCGCTTTATGGAGTAGGTAAACACAACCACAAAAATTGTCGCTTTCTTTTTCTAAATATAGATAACGATAGATACGGTCCCAAAGAAAATTTCGCCAAGATTTGCCAAATTAAATGAAACTGAACAAGATCGGTGAAGTTTGAAATAGTGCGAATATACTTTAAAGTGACTTTATCGGTTTGTTGTCATCCAAAAATGTTGCTACCGCGGCAACATGACGTGACAACTTCTCCTCTCTATTGTCTAAAAACATAGCAAGAAGACAATTCGACCGAAACATCTGCTATTTGGAGTATATTTGCGGACCTGAACAACCCTTTATCTTCTAAACATGCACTATCGAGGTGAAGTTAACATCGACAAAGGTAAGCATGTTTTAGCTTGTTTTCAAACTAGGAATTATTTTGAATGAAAAATAAAGCAATTAATGAATTCGGCTTTCGTATAGGATATAGTATATACTAAAACAGTGGATAGTGTTTTTCGCGCGCTCTGATTGGCTACTCAATCAGTGAATATCCTGCACTATTCACTGATTCACCTCCAGTTCCTCTGAGCGAGCGACGCCAAACTCGCGTAGGTTGCGAGCAAAATGCTTTCCCGGTTTGCTGCCGTAACATACTAACAAATTTCACAACTAATCAAGCAAGCTTTTTCCGAAATACATGAAGAAAGTGACGAAGTTCGGTTTGGTAGTTTTAACAGGTAAAGCTTTATCTTTTTGACTTGAATAGTTATCGCAAAACCGGTGAAAAAGTTTTTTGTTTACAAATGCAAATTAAGCTTAAGTCTTGCGTTACTTTATTTAGTTGACTTGTTCATAAATAAGCTTAAAACTAAATTTAATAATCTTTTTTACAGAATTATTTTAAATACAAACAGAATTCACAACTCCTTTTGAAGAAACTTCCCCGCAAGAGCTAAACAAACGCCTTCAAAAGTTTTATTTGTCGCTAAGAAAAAGCGACGACCGCGGCCGTTCGGTCATCGCGCGCCAAAATTGTAATCGTTGGCAACAGTAAATGAGTTAAAAATCATCATTTTGTGCTCAATTATCTCACTGTTTTAGTATATACTAAAACAATTATTCACCTCAGTGTCGGTGGCTAGTAGTGGCTATATTTACCTTGCCGCTTCGCGGCCTCGGTAAATATGCAGTACTAGCCACCTCCACTTCGGTGAATAATTGTTATTTAGTAAAAAGAATTATGCAGATCTTGGAGGGTGTTATCAGCCTCGGCCTTCGGCCTTGGTGGATAACACCATCCTCGATCGGCATAATTCTTCATATCCTCCTCAGCCTCATTCATTCATTGCTAATTAATTAATTAATCAATGGGAGATCGGAAAAAAAAAACAGGCCAGTGTTGCGAGCGGGAGCACCTTGGTGTAGTTGGAAACTATCTTGTGACAGATTGTTGCTACCGTCCATTCTTAATATTATTATAATACCGTTGCCATATTTTCCCAGCCAATCAAACGCACCGACACTTGTTTAAAGATTTCATTTCTTCCATTATCATTCGTTTTTTGCTGGTATAAAATTCATTGATTCTCGTTAATATTTATTTTTCACTGTCCTCATGCAACTCCATTCTCCGTATTATTTATTTTATTTTCGCTACCGTTTTGCATTCAGATGATTCTATGGACAAAGAAGAAAAGCGGCTTAAAAACCTAGATCAGGAGAAATATGACTACATTCAGGATTACCTAGAACAAGCCAGAGAACAAACAAAGGATGTTGATAGACAAAGCGTAACGACAGACACAGCAAGTGACAGTGGTATATCGGGATCAAATATAAATACATCATCTGAAGTTGGAACGGAAGACATCAGCGGTAAGCTTTAAAGTTGAAAGCCGATGCTTAACAACAACAGGATAGCATACACATAAGCCAAGGGAGAGATTTCTTCAAATTGGTGTTTTGGACCCGTCATCTTGATTTTAATGATATCAAAATAGTGCCGTGGTACTGAACCAAATTTAAATCAGATAAGGGAGGGAATAAGAAATTCGAGATCTATATACTTTTTTAATTTTAAAAGTCGAAAGGAAATTCATGAGGGATGGGCAAATAGGGCTCAAAGGGATTTATGGATAATAATAAATAATTGCTTTATTGTTCATTCAAAATAATTACAAGTTTAAAAACAAGCCAAAACATGTTTACCTCCGTCGATCGATGTTAAGTTCCCTTTTTGAGAGCGAGTAGTCTTGACTATTAATTTTTGCCTTGTATTCCTACCTTCGCTTTTTCAAAAAGTGTAAAAACTTACTCTTGTTATTGGATCATTTTCAGCAGTATCTAAGTTAGAAAAACAGCTGGGATGGTTACATTTTTCTATTTTTTCCTTTCCCCTACAGATTCTTCTTTCAATCTTTGCTTAAAAGATCTAAGTAAAGCAGTGACCGCAGAAATATCATTCAGACTTGAAACTGACTTCACTGCCTTGGAACAGTTTTGTCAATCGTTTGGGCTTGATCGTCAAAAATTGCATCTCAGCATGAGGGGGAAGTCAAGACAAGAAATTATCGAATTGTTCCCGGACACCCCAGTCACGCTGTTAAGAGACGTATTTAGGAAGTTGGAGTTATACGATCTCGTAGAGTTGCTGGAAAAAGTGAGACCAAGCACGCTTCGTGCCATTCCGGCGAAAGAAATGGACAAGTTACTAAATGCCAATAATAAACGACCAACAAAGTTCTTCAGCAAAGCAGAGGTTTTGATTATAGATTACTTTGGCTTTGCTGCTGTGGAAAAAGCAAATATTGAAAGAATTGGATCTTTTTTTAAAGATCTAAATTCGAAGAGCCAGGTGGCTGAAATTACAGCAGAGGTTACCTTCGAACGACGGTTGGAAGATATTAACAAGTTGAGGAAAAGGAGTGCGATGGAATGGGACAGTCACAGAGGAGCAGAGGACGAGGAAACGATGCTGAAAGAGTTGCTGAAGGAGAAATTTCCAAATAGTGGGTACAAAGGATCAGAAAGGCTTCCTTCTGTTGATTTAAAGCGCAAGAAGCAACTGCTGAGCACGGTTTACGAAGAGGAATCAGCAATGACAAAACGTCTAGAGGAGGTGGTCCTGGAAAGAGGCAAAACAGAATTAAAAATAAATGAAATTTGTAAGGAGATTGAACAGAAGGTTGAAGAACTTAAAGGAGAACTACCGGAACAGACAGAGAAATTCAAAGTGGCTATTTCAAGCGTCTTAGACAAAAGGATCCGCCAACCAAATGATAAAGGTGAGTTTACCTACTGGTAAATTCAGGTGATAGATCGATCTAGGTATAAAAGGGCGAATACACTATGTCCAATGAAAACTAAAAGAAACCTACATTAAAAAGATTGTTTGTTGTGATTCATGATTATTAATAGAAGTAAGAGGCAACTTAGAACAGGTCGGCCATTGGCCAGTGTGATTGGTTCTGCATGTGTTTAGTGCATGGAAGCTATCACGTGCCTTTTATAACTAATTTGTTTCAACCTTATTTTTCAAGTATGCTCTCGAGTGCGTTAAAAGACAAGAAAGTCATTAAAGCTCGTAGAGACTCTCGCATTGACAAATCCATTAAAGATGTTCGGTCACCGGTGTTTGCTATATTAGACTTCTGATTAAACGTAGTGGTGATGTCAGCCTAGGAGACCCATTGGGAAAAGACAAAGAAAAAATGACTAAGAAGGTTGAGTATGTACCCAAGTTGAGAGAATCTTACCCTACATCCTCAGTTAGAAATACTGTACTATCCCGGTAGTAAGAACCCTCATTTTGCCAAGTTGGCCTGAACCGACTCTAGTAGTGGATATTGCTATTAGTAGGGAGTAGGCCCGTTGCCAGTGTGTTTAAGGCGTGGTCACTTTTCGACCGAGCAGAGATTGGACCGGACGAGTGAGGAGTGGTCGCATGGAGTCTGAACCCAAGTTAGCTCGACCGCATGGCAGTCTTGGTTCGAGTCGCGCGTAGAGTCGAGTCGCGCGTGATTAGGTTGGGATTCGGGTCGGACTTAAGGTTCGGGCTATAGTCGGAAAGGGTTCGGGTTAGAGATTACTCTTAAGCTTGTCCGTCTATATTTATTAACGCATGCGCAATTCTACTACAACTCCGAGTGGCTCTCGGTATAACCAGGTAATTGGTCGATGTCTCGCCCTGACAACTCTATTAACTCACGACAATTTGCTCATTGGCTGCCCAAAATTGCCCGCAACATTGTAGAGGTGAGTGAGAATTAAATAAAGGGTTTAGTTTTATCGCTTCCTCACGATTGTCACAATGATATTGATCGCGACGTTTCGACCGCACACTGCAGGTCTCCATCAGGTGATAGTGTCGATTTACTGAGTCAGACTATTTGTACCACCGTGGTTGTTAGTGATTGGTGTATCACAAACCTCGCTCATGGTTGATCCGTTTTTTCCTCTCACAACACCAACAATGCTTTGGATCGAAGCCCACCAACCATGAGCGAGGTTTGTGATACACCAATCACTAACAACCACGGTGGTACAAACAGTCCGACTCAGTAAATCGACGATATCGCCTGATAAAGACCTGCAGTGTGCGGTCGAAACGTCGCGATCAATATCATTGTGACAATCGTGAGACAAACGATAAAACTAAACCCTTTATACACATTACCCACGATGATTAATATCTTTCGTGACATTGAGTGAGAATTATTCCGACGATTTTTTTTCTTAGCCGATGTGTCTTTAGGAATATCTTCCAGGTCAAACAGACTACTCAAAAGGTATTTTGGCTTACTGACGGCAGCTTCCAAAGCCTCCGTATATTCCACTTCATCATCTTCCATAAAGCTACGTAACGTTTTAGTAACCTTTTGTGCTCCGGGTCAGTTTTCAAGTTACGATACCACCTTAGGTAATGCAAATACAAGTGTCGCAGAAGGTAAGAAGCTCGAGCCGGAGGATCTTAGGCAAACCCTGGCGTAGAGTTTCTAATGCCACCTGTTCCTCCCAAGCTGAATTCACGTCATTGACAACTTCTTTTCGTGGTTTATCTCAAGGATCAACTTCCTCACTTTCTGTGTCACTATCCGTATTTTCTTCATCTTCGTCAATTTGTTCTTTACTTGGCTTTTGTTCTCATCATCATCGTCATTGTCGTCATCTTCATCGTCATTTTTATTTACGCATTTTCTTGCCGCCCGAACCCTAACCTCCGACTTTATCCCGAACCCTAAATCCGACTCGAACCCTAACCTTATTACGTGACCTTCCTCGACGCGCGACTCGGGGCCAGATTACCACGCGATCAAGCTAACTCGGGTCCAGACTCCACGCGACCACTCTTTACTCGGGTCCAATCTCTGATCGGTCGAAAAGGGACCACGCCCTTAAACACGTGCAACGGGTCCACACCCTACTGCTATCCACCGGATAAATCACAATCAGGCGGACAGGTATTAGGCAAACCAGTTGGGCTATCCAGTGGATAGTGTTTTATCCGGTGGATAGAGTTATCTACCTTTCGAACAACTGTGGCCAGATTCTTACATAAATGATAATTAGCACAAATCTACGCTATTTGGGATCTTAAATAAATTCCTATTTTCTGTAGAAAAAAAGCATAATGTAGTTTACAGGATCTAGCTCTATTCAGCCTACTCCTTACTAAAAACTACCACTATCAGAAAAATTGAAGTACTGTTCACATGAGTTCTAAAGGTTGTATAAAGAATAAGAACAGTGAATAAGAACCAGTTTCAAATTGCTGAACAGGATCTTTTAAAGAGGGGGCCGGGGGGGTCTAAGTTTCAAAACAAATCTTTTTGATGGATGACGGGCTATTTTGGCGAGTTGAATACTATAATTCATTACCAAGGAGACAGATATTTTAAGTATAGAGATAAGCATGGTTTTGAGCTCGGAAATATTTCGAGTAAACAATAAAGCAATTATTGAACTCGGCCGGTTTCTTATGATATCAAGAATTATGGCAACCTCGTTTCCAGGGTCCTCTCCTACTCGTCACCCGGAGCGAGGGAGGGAGAGACCACCCAGCGTCATCCATGCAATAAATGTTATATGTCAGTACAGTGTGTGTATATTCAACAATATTAACTGAGCCTGAGGTGAATAATTGTTTTAGTATATTCACACGAAGTGATCTCAACAAAATCAGAAAGGAAACCATTAAAAAACGATTAGTTTAATTGACGGGTGAATTCATGCGTGAACACGAAGCCGTAAACAGTGGATGCGCAAAAGTTAGATCTTTACAGTATCTTCAAACATGGCAAATGATAGTTTTAATCTTTTGTATCGAGTTTTGTAAGCTTTAGCATCAACGGTTTAAAAAAAACGCCGAAAATTTAAATTACTACCCAATTCTGAGAAGAAAAGTAGAGCTTTATTTGTTTCTGTCAACTCACCGTGAATGAGAAAGTTTTCTTTGTCACTTCTTGCAAGTGCTGTCAACAGCGGCTACGATCAAGGTGAACGTTGTTTATCTCCAATGTTCTTTGCCTTGTTAACTTGCTGGCACATACAATTTTCGAAAATATTTGCCTTGCTCTTTCCTCCATAAATTAACTTCTATTTATAGGCGAAATTGGTCTTGCGAGAATATCCCGAAATCACAAAACAGTGACAAAGCGACCTCGTTTTCGTCGTTTTTGTCAGCTTTGAGCGTACAAAACGTCAGGCACGGTAAACCACTTCACAATAAATCACGCTGTTTAAACACCATGAAGTCTTTTCTTGCCTTCAAAGTCATCAGCACTTGGATATTCGTGTATTTTCAAAAAGGTTTTACTATGAAACTGTGGCAAAACACCCTGTTCACGACAGCGATTTTGCTCTGCTTTATATTCACTGCCTAGCGCGGTGAATTTAACGTCATAGTCCGAGATTGCTAACCATTCAGATTGCTTGAATTACCAAGATCACTGTGTGTATATACTAAATATATATAGGCTCAAGTGATAGTAACAATTGAAGATTAGGGGTTCTGGCTTAGCTAAGAACGTATCTGTTATTTGAAAGTAGTAACTCGGACAGTTAAACATATTAAATAAAATGATGTTCATTTTCAATTTTGTTGAGATCACCACGAGTAAATATCTGGTCGTGGTCTTTCACATCGTACACTATGAGCCGGATGCACTAACCACTGACCACGGAACTGCCGGGAAAATGGGAACTCTCGTGGAAGTTCTTTATGCAATCACGAGAATGCATTCTCAGATAAATAAATGGAAACAAAATGATGTGTGAAGACGCCTGAGAAAAAAATGGCAGATTGGACCAGGCTTCATAGTAGCTGCTGAACAATCTGAATTCTGTTTATGTTGCACTAAGAATTCATTTATCTAAGAATTCATTTGATCTGGGCTAGATAATAGCAGAAAAAAGTATTTTAAGGCATTTCTTAAAAAGGAAAACGTCGTATATCTCAAATAAGGACGACGACCCACAAGACCAAGGGGACGCCATAACCAAGCTGGCCATAGTGAGATTTGCATTAATACTGAAATTAACAGGGGCAGCCATGAACAAGGTCTGCCGAACTTATCTGGCCAAGACCATTTAGTGAATTCGGAGTGTCGCCTGCAGTAGAAGTTCTGATCTCCAAGGTAAGATTTCTAAGCTGAAACCAAAATAATTTGAAAGGTTTAATTCTCAGAAGCACTGCAAAATAACTGTACTCCAATTAAGTGAAATGGGCTCAGTACGATTAAAAACTGGCAGATGAAACGTCTTATGATCCGTTTTCTTTCTTTCTTTCCAGATAGCGAATCGACGCTTCTTGTCGTGATTCAGAGTTCAAAGTGCTACTACTTTGTTTCTGAATGTATAGAGGAAACACAAAAATTTTTGGCTGAAAAATTGAGTCTCATTCCAAACACGAAGCTAGTAATATCCGATTACTGGTCCCTGCCAGACAAGGACCACGTACAAATGTTCCAGGATACTCTTCATTTCCTGATACATGGGAGAGGAGCTTTTCCTACAATGTTAGAGGTGTTAAACAAGCGTTGGCAGACATTAGATCTTATTTCAGTGTGCAGGGAAATTCAGAGGACTTTGCCTGTTCAACATGAACTTTTCTATCAAGGGGATAGGTCCACTTTTGATTACCATGGATGTCAAATAGTTGACATCTTGACCTGTCTTCCAAAACTTCAGAAGGTGGATCCATAAACGAAACCAAGAGATAATAAGCTATTCTCTCTTGACAAAACTCAGACTTGTCACCCACTCCTCTCAAAGGGAAACTTCTTCATATCTAGAATGGATTATTGTGCACGTGGTTCTGCCTGATGAAAGTCTGCATTTAAAGGTGTCGAATAACCAGTGGCGGATCCAGACCTTCAAATAAGGGGGGTATCCAGACCATGAGATAAGGGGGGTTCAAAAACATTTTTTTCGGTCCTTCGGGCCTCAGTTTGGTCTAAAAATAAAGGGGGGCGGGCTCCCCGGGCCCCTCCCCTGGATCCGCCACTGACAATAACAGTCTTAATTATGCATTTTGCTTTTGCCATGTGTTTTTTGAGCGTGCCAAATACATACTAGACAGTGTGCCTAATAAGAGAGCTTTCCTTTTTAGTTAAGGTGACTCACTACAGTTTTCCGAAGAAAAATATCATCATCATATAATCAGTGCGTTTTGAACACCTGAAGATCGGAAGTGATAGTCACTTTAATATCATTTATCTTCTAAAATAATATTGCCTAGTATGCATAAGCTTTTTTGTGGTATTGTTTATTACTTCTGTACAAGTAATGCAATAAGCTAGTAAATATCATTCGCTCAAAGTTAGTTGTACATAGTTGTGTTAGTATTTCCTGTATTAGAAAATGGTGCTTAATGGTAAATAAAACTTAAGAACGTTTTACAGTTTTCACTTTAAGCTCCTGTCTTTTTAGTTTACTTGATATCACTGGCGAGAGCAAGAAAAAGATGTACGGGTGTACCTAGTACCTAGCCCTCGAAAACGGGTACCTGGACCCACTGAGCGCGGACAAAACAGGATGTGGGGGGACGGGGGAATACCCGTGATACGCCATTTCCGAGTTTCCCCACGCCTTCAAATCGTGCGAAGCTAACTTGACAAAAATTACTTTTTATTTTTATTTTTTTATTCTCATAAAACTCATTTTCACAAAAACGGGTTTAGAAAGTACTTAAGTAAAGACCCAAGACGATTGCCCATCTCCTAGAATTTTGAGGGAGCCGCGCAAATGTGCGGCCGGTACGGGGTCGAGTTTATGACGTTGAGGGTGGCGCAATTTGTTCTAAAAATAGGATTTGGCTACTTAAATAGAACCGCGTAGACACCGCACTTGCGGTATCACGATGAGTTGAGAAAGGTTATAATTCCTTATCTTGTTGCGGCAACTCTACTGGAAGCATTTATACCGAAAGAGGGGACATGTCTACCAGTTCGACAATCGCAACGCTTTCATCAACATCCCTGAGTCCGTCTATAGTGTCCTGCGTTCTCCATGCGTTGAAAACCCTATCACTATAGGCCAATCAAACCGATCAAGACTTGAAATCCCGCCGTATGCGGATGTAGCTCAAAAGTTTATTTGTACTCATTCCTTGTACGATTTCAAAGAAACTATATAATATACAACAAACACAGTTCCAACGTAAACGCAGGCACAGTATTTACTGGAAGAGCAACGCCCACGTGTCCATCTGACCCCGGAAACTGGCATATTCCTTGACCTTAAAAGCACACAAATCCCTCCCCATTATTTCGTTTCATTTAATCTCGTACAATTCACTTATACGGAACTGAGACCTTTCCTGTTAGTCTACAGGGTCTTGGCTAGGTTACCAGTTGTCACGAACTGGGATAAACTTGTAATACCATGCACAGTAATTGTAAAAGGCGACGGGCTCAATAGGTTACTCTTCCATTTGATTTGAAGGTTGCCAGTGCCATAAAAGGGTGATTACTGGTAAGCCTGTCCCCGTCTTCACCTGTTGCTTAAAAAGCAATTAGAAAACAGCCTGCCTATATTCCTATTATCAATAATCGTCTCATTGTTCAAGCCGATCTTTATCTCGAGCCGATCATGGTTTTGTTCTATCTGTATTTTTAATTTTTTTTGTGCACGAAGTTGAAAAAAACTTCCCCTTTCTGCCTTCATGGAGATTTCGTGAGAGAGAAGCGAATAACGTAATTCACAGAAAAAATTCACATTGTTTACACAACACCTGACTCGTCCTCATTCGTCTCTCATTATTAGTATTGGCTTTGAAGACTAGAACGGGCTCTTTCACGAAGGGGATGAACAAGACTATATAATAGAGGGCAAAAGTGTGACGTTACGTTACCATGGAAGGAAAATTTCTTGATCTCAACAATCTTTCTATCATCAGCCATTTGCATTGTCTAACGATGAAAGACTAGTATGGGCTACCGTTTTGTTCCTGAGTGCAATCATACACGCGCGTACATGAAAGTCATACATGTCAATTTTTTTCTCCTTCTTTAAATTATGTCAGATTTGCAGGATCACGATTCTTTGAGATCCAGTAATTTTGCTATCATACTAGATTGCAAAGCAGTCGGGTTTTTTTTTCTTTTTTTTCGCAATATCGGGTTTGCAAGGCGGGAGGCACCGTCGTGATATTTTCGCGCGAAGCGCGTGGGCCTCACAGGCCCATCTGCTGCCATGGCAGCGTGACATAACGACTTCTCCTACCTATCTCTCCGCAAGTAGGTTATTTTTAGTCGTTGAATATACGGTATCCTCATGGTAAGAGGTTTCTAATGATCAGGAGCCTGTAATGATAAACTTGGCATATTGACATACTACTTCCCTGCAAAATTTTCATGTTCTTTTTGTTAAGTTTGATATAACTCAACTAGTACCACAGTTGTTTGAGCAATTTCGCAGGCAATCTCGTCCCCAGGGTCTTCTCGTTTTTTAATATGGCAGCAGTAGGAGATTATCACGGTATTACGGTGTCGTCCCTACGCTGAATTGGACATTGGACTGGATCTTGGGATATAATGAAAATCCAGTTAGTTTTAATTAGCCAATTATATGCAACATAACAATGTTTGCTTAAGTGACCAGTATATTCAATGAAGATGAACGTTTGTCTCAGGTCATTGGCCTTGAAAAAGCAAATCAAGCAAGTTGAAGTTAATTAAGGGAAAGTTCATTTAATATGACAAGGGGTGGGGGTGAAGATATTGAAACTCGAAGCTTGAAATTTTAGCAGCCCCCCCTCGCTAGCGGTTCAATTTTTTAGGAGCCCCCTCCTTGGTAGTTGAAAAAATTTCAGAGCCCCCCCTCCTCCTTCAATTCCTTTGCTCCCTGAAAAAAGATCGCTAGACTGTATTAAATATACTTACCGTTATTGTCTTCAATGGTTTATACTATGACAAACTTGAGATACCGTTGTGATACAATTTTCTAAAGCATTTTTGGGATGAACAAGAGTGTAATAACTACTGAGACTACATTTGTTATATCTGTAAACCACGTGATATAGCTGAGTTGCACAGGTCATTAAATTGTTGAGTTGAAAACCATCCGATCTGTATGATGATGTCATGTGTTGGTTTTGAAGTATACAAATTTTCGGAGCCCCCTCCTAGCGCAACAATTTTTTTTTCAGAGCCCCCCCCTTCGGGTGTCTAAAAATTTTCGGGCCCCCCCTCAATATCTTCATCCCCCCCCCCCCATAACATAACATAACATAAAACTTTATTTAAACTCGAATTTTAGAGTAGCTAACAAGCTAATATCTTCGAGCTGACACTACATAAAACTATATAGAAAATATATATATACATTAAATGCAAGGAAAGAAAATATCATTTACAATTCACAATTTTAAGTTTAAGTATGTCAGGCAAAAAGAATCTACATGAAGGTAACATCCTGTATTTTAGTCTTAAAGTCTGCAAAAAAAAAGGTACGAAAAAAGTCCGGCAGTGCATTCCACTGCTTAGCTGAAAAGTAAGAAAAGGAGTTAAGACCATAGGTAGTTGTTTTAGGTTTACTTAGTGAAAGAATGTAGTTGCCACGAAGATCATAGGTAGAGGACCGGAGTGAAAACATATTCTTCATATAAGTAGGAAAATGAGTGAAAAACAAACTCTTATATAACAGAATGAGGAAATTTTGAATGCGTTTGTTAAACAAAGAAGTAGAGCTGACTTTTGAGAGAAGAGTGTTGTATGGAGACGAGTAATCTCCAAGTATAAATCTAAGTATTCTTTTATTTAAAGCTTCGAGCTTATCCGCATCGCGCGCTCCACAAAAGTGCCAGACAAGGGAGCAATAATAAAAGTGAGGTAAAATATACGCTTTGTAAAGTTTGAATAAGATTTCCTTGCGTATGAGTTTTCTAAAGCGCAACATAACATTAAATTGATTATTAATCTTTTTGCATACATTTGATATATGTTTAGAAAAATTCAGATTATTATCTATTTCCATTCCAAAAATCTCTAACGTGTCCTTTACTGGGAAGGAAAAACCATACTCCGTATCACCGAGTGGGTCATGGTGCTTGCTCTCATTAACTAACATCCCATTTTCATGGTACCACTGATTGGCCACGCCAACATCATGAGATACGCATGCATCCAGAGCTGCCGGATCGACGTGGGAGTAGTATACCTGATGATCATCCGCATAAGCGTTCAACTTGGCCTTCTTGACGTGGAAGAAAAGATCGTTTATGAAAATGTTGAATAGCATGGGACCTAACACACTCCCCTGCGGGACCCCACGCTTGACGCTTTCCCAGGTCGAAAAGGTGTCTCCAACTTTAACTCTCTGAGTTCTGCTAGAGAGATAGTTCCTAATTAGGGCACAACTTTTGTCGTCCATACCATAGGCCCTCAGTTTCGAAAGGAGGAGTGGATACTGAATAACATCAAACGCTTTGGAGAGATCCATAGAAACTACCGCAACAAGCTCCCCCTGTCACGCATCATTCTCCAGTCCTCGGTCAACCTTAGCAAAGAGGTCTCGCAACTATAAAACTTTCTATAAGCGCTTATGAAGTCTGATAAGACCCCATTGTAAAATTCATACATCTGCCCCGATAGAAGCCTTTCAAAAATATTGTTTAGAGCAGGGAGCACAGTTACGGGCCTATAGTTGATCTTACAAAACTCGTTGTCTTTTTTGTACAGAGGAGTAACCATGCCCATCTTCCAGCTAGCAGGATAACAGCAATGTTCAATGCAACAGTTTATTATACTTGTTATAGGCCGCGCAATAACAGCTGCCGCTTCTTTAATCAACTTTGGTGGGATCATATCGTGACCAGGTGACTTACGTACATTGATCTCTTTTAGTAATAGCTCAACCTGGGTTTCACTTGCGCGATGAAAA